TCATTCTAATTTCCCAAAACCCAGAGTTGTAAAGCTAAGGCCCCTCTCCTGAATGGCCATGTACAATAGAGCAATTTAGCCTTCAGTCCCATGTTAACCTTTACCACCATAATGGAGAATTCCATTCCTACAAGCTACTTCTGTTTGCCTCCTTTCATTGCCTAAGCCCCTTAGGTTGCTGTCCAACTGTTTTCTGTCTCCAGCCTTACAGAGAGCTAAGCCCTGTAGTACTCAGCCTTCCTCAACTAGATAGTCAGTAACCTGGAACTAACTCTGGACTTCTCCCAGACCTTTTACAAGGTGGCCTTGGTAATTAGGCTTTTGTTTCCCCTCCTTGGGAAGCAGGGCAGTAAAGGGCCTGACTGGGGAAGACCATCCTAGTCCTGTATATCTTTCCATTTCAGTGGGAGAGGAAGGAACTGGGTTTAAATGGTGTCACCAATTCACATAATACTGTTTCATTTAATGCTCTAGGCCAGTATTTTCCAAAGTTATTTTAAGGATCATCTAGGGTACTTAAAGATGTAGATTGTCATCCCTGTCCCAGTCTTCTTGAGTCAGAGTCTCTAGGGAGGAATGTGGGAAACTATTTTAAATAAGCATGCTAGGCAATTCTTATAATTTGGGAGAAATTGTTTTCCCTATAGTTGTTAAAAGGGATAGGGAAGGGAGATGGGGAGGGATTAGGATTGAAATCACCTGGGGAAGTTTTCCTGACTCCCCGACTCCAACATAAACATATACATAGACATTAATATACATATATATCTGAAGTGTCTTTTTCCAACTTGATTATACACCTTTAAAAATCTACACTATTTACAATTTACATGTAAGCTTTTATGGATGTAAATTAAGTAATTTAAAGTATATTTAAACCAGTTATTAATTTAGATAAATACTTATTTACATTTAATATCACAAATTTACAAAATGGTATTAATTTAGAAAAATTGCTTTTTTCTCAAACAATTTTATTCAAATTCTTCACATGCATCTTCCACAGCTGGGTCTTTATCATCATTGGAGCATTTTGAATCATCTAACAGTTCCCATCTAGTCATTTAAGATAGAACATCGTTTAAATTAAGTAGGATACTAACAGTGGAGATTTTACTGTGGCAAAAACCGTTTGTTAAACATTAGGACAGTTTTTTTTCCTTCACATTCACAATCTCCACAAATAAGTACATGTATTTCTCTGTTCAATGATTATTTAATAATGATCTCCAACATTGTTCTCCAAGGTCATACCCTGGAGATAGTTAATAAATATGCCTTTGCCTTTTTCCTCCTTGATTTTGTTAGGTGACCTTTATAAGATAGAAAACTGCCATTGCTTGAGGCCCTTTCAAGACATATTGTCTTCCTGAAGAGTACTTTGTTCAAAAAGGACAAAGTAAAGGCAAAAATATAAGGTGATTCTCTTTTCTGAGATGATATTTTTGGAAAAATTTTGCTTTTTATTCTGGGATATATGGTATATGTTGTTATTTAAGAACATCTGTACCTAAACCCAACTTCAACTCCCCAGGGAAGTTAAACTGGTGCTAGAAGGCAGATAGATTGTGGCAAAGCTGCATCCACTCATTGTTTAGTGCTAAAAGAATAAATTGTAGGGAGGTCCAAGATTGCTTTTTAGAAGGCGATGATTTGGTTATCATTCAAAGTTTGCCTATGATTACAAACTGGATTTTAATGGGAAGCAGTCCTAAGGTTGTTTATTTGTTCTAAAGATATTAATAATCCTGCCGAAGTGCCCCGTGGCTGCAGAATTACTGTTAAGTTCCATAATTCATGTATATGTTGAGCATTGTCTGTAGACTGAAGAATGTTTCACGTATCTATGAACTATTATTTTTTGGAAGTTTGTGGATGCTATAGTGATAAATAAAATACAAATTTGTTTAAAAGTAATGAACTCAGTAATTTTTGCTTTTCTGCATTTTTCCAATGAATAGAAATGGAAGTTGCTCTCATGGTGGGCAGCAGGGTTCTAAGATACTCAGGTTAGTTTGTAGTTGACCAAGTTTCATCAATTAGCAAGTGGCTAAAAGGGGTCCAGAGAATGACATATTAGGGTGACAGGTTATGGGACACAAGAAAAGAGGCATAGGCAGAGTGGCAAAGGGGCAGTGACCTGAAAAGCTATTAAAAAAGGACTCAGGAGGGACAGAGAAGACACAGCAGTGCCACAGCTGCCTGCTAGCACATCTCAAAGTGCCTGTCCTCTCCCCCAAAGCAACAGTTTTATCTTAGTTGCAGGTGCTTCCTTTAAGGCTAAACTTAGAAAATGAAATAACTCTTGTCAAACTCATCAGTTCATCAGAAGTAAGGACGAAGGAGGATAGGTATTGTCATCTTTGTTACTAATTTTTTTTTAAAAAAGCACCTTTAGATTATGAAAAACAAAAAAGTGCAGTCCATGCAACTAAAGCAAAAGCACAATACTAAGCAGGTTTCTTTTTCCTCATCCCTAATACCAAGAGCTGTAATTTTGTGGGAGATGTCAAATAATTCAAAGCTACGGAAGCAAATTAGGTCTCAAAAAAAAAAGACACAGTAAAATTATTTTAATGTTGCAAACAACTATCTCATATTTAGAAAACACTTCTTTGCTTATTCATAGGAAAAATCTTTTAAAATGGGAAATTGTGCACTATAAATTATCTGGTGGATGTAAACTACTAAACCAGTATTCTAAGCACTCCATTGCGTTTCAGATATACTTACTTGATATCTCTCTACAATATTCTCTACTGATACATATAGTATTAGAAAAGTATTAAAACAATGTGCACGTAAGACTTATCTTGAAATAGCAGAAGCTGAGAGGAGGGGGAAAAAAGGCATTTTCTTTCCTGGATCTCTCAGACAGCCACCAGATGGGAAGCAAAAGCTAGCTAGTAGACCTGCAATGCAGTAAGGTGGGGCATGCAAAAAACAAAGAGCTCCATCTTGTGTGACATTTTTATTCGGGTAACCAGAGTTTAAGATTGTGTCCCTGATAATGATGTAACCAGCATCTCCACTACATTAATACCAGCTACATCCCTGTGAAGAAATGTCTCACGTTTCTTATTAACTAATGCGAACGGGAAATTCTGGGGGGAAAAACAGGAAAAACTATGGCAGGTGTTTCTTTTTTTCCTGAAAAATCAAAAAAACTCTATTATAAAATAGTCAAAGTAATTAATAAAATATTTACAATAAAGTCCATATATGGCTTTCTAAGATGTGTTTTTTTTTTTTAAATTTCACCATAGGAAGAAATTGATGTAAAATTAGCCAATTTATACTGTCAGTCTAAGTGATAATAGCACTGCTACTTGCAAAACAACTAATCCAGTTAGCTGATGGCAGATATTTTTAGTATAGAAAAGTATATACAATGGGATTTCACCTCTTAAAAAGCCTTTGTTTATAAATACTGAAGGTAAATACACCAAAATATTAATCATGGCCATTTCTGAGTAGGAAGATTGTGGGAGATCTGCATTTTGTTCACATTCCAAATACTGAATAACAATCATTATTGCTTTTATAATCAAGAAAAAAAATTATTTTAAAAAATAAGAGGGCTGGCCAGTTAGCTCAGTTGGCTAGAGTGTGGTGCTGATAACACCAAGGTCCAGGGTTCCATTCCTTTACCAGCCAGCTGCAAAAAAAAAAAAAAAAGCTTGAATTGCTTAAGAATAAATATCTTAAAGTGTGATCAGAGAATGGTTCTGAGGTTCTACGAAGCATTCCCTCTTTTCAAATGGCAGAAAAAAGGCCTTGTGTGCCATAAGACAGCCTGATTCCTTTTTCAGAAGACCTGGACTGACATCAGTTTTCTTTCATTTTCTAGATAAATCATTAAAGCTTTTCTCGAATAAGTCACTGAAGCTTTTAGAATCTCTGTATAATAGATTTTGAAGTATTCAAACCAAATCAATCAATAAAAATCTAGAAAAATTTCCTTTAATCAATATAAGAAATATGCCAGGATAAGAACTTGTAGATGAAAAACCTGAGAACTTAAATAAATCGCTTGGTTTCTCTGAGACTTCAATTATCTTCATCTGCAAAATGGGTATAAATAATCTGTGCCACTGCCAAGGCTGTTATGAAGAATAAATGCGTTGATATATGTCAAATAGACCCTAAAAACTATAGCCCAGACCTTGCAAATGGCGGTGGAGAAGGGACCTGCCCTTAAACGGCTTTGAATTGCCATCTAAAGAAAAGAGGAACTATATAGACCAAGGATTGTGGTTCTAAGGTTTTTTTTAAGATCCCAAAACATTTTAAACTTTGTCTTTCGTTATTTTTGTTATCCTCTGAGCCTGCTTTAAGGGATGATTAAACATCTTAAAATGAAAAGGCGTTTCCTTTCGGAATACCAAATGTAAAAAAAAAAAAAAAAAAATCCCAAATTTGATCTGGGATAGATCCTTATTGCCTGATGTAATTTATTAACTTTCTTCTAAGAAGAAATAAGCATTCCTGTTAAAATATAAGCAATTTTTGGACAAACTTAAATTTTCTGGGGAAACTAGCTCCCTTCCCACCTAGCTGACCATCATCAGTCAAGAATCTAGTGACTTTTAACGTAGAATTACATCTCCCACAGTGCCTAAAACGGTGTCTTGCACCTTATCACAAAAAATTGTTATAAAAATCCTACTCAATTCTCTTATCGCTGGTTCCCCTCCTCTCCCCTATCCCCCCCCCAAACAAAAACAACAACAAAAAACTCCCAAACATCTACTGGACCTGAAAACAAAGCACTTCACAGACCCACGACCCAGGTCATGGGCGGGCGGGCGGCCGGAGCCTTCCGAATTCTCAAAGGCCCGTGGGTCGGGCCGGGGCCGCTTCCAACCGCGCAGTTAGTTCCTCGGTGAAACCCGCGAGCACCTGGGACCCCGAATGTGCTGGGGAGAGGGGTCGACGAGGGCGCCACCCGCCCCACCTGCTCTTGCAGGTCCCTGAGCGGGCTTCGCGGGGCCGGCGGCGGCCGTGGAGTGACCGAGGCCAGCGATCCACCATGGAGACCCGCTACAACCTGAAGAGTCCGGGTGAGCAGGGCTGGGGGCGGGGGGCGGGGTGACCCGGGACCCCGGTTCCGGCGCCGCTGTGCCCTCGCGTCCGCCGTCACTCGCGGCTGCGCTCCCGGTTTCGCGCTCTACGCGAGACCGCCGCTTGCCAGGGAGGTGCAGGCCGCAGGCGGGGCGGCCAGGCGGGCACCAGCTGCCAGTCTCAGGGACCCGCCAGCGGCCCTCAGCACCCGGCCTCGCCCTTTCCTCCTCTTGGGTCCCGTAGAGTTGGGTCATTAACTCATCCCTAAGAACGAGTGTAAAGGTGATGTTTCTGGGTAGTGGTCAGCAGCCCCTGGCTGTACCTGCATCCTGAACACCGTCGTTATCCCCTCTCGGTCACTGCCACCGGACTTTTATTAGCTGTTTGACTCACTCATATTTGAGGATTTGGTCGTTTAAATATCGTATTTGCAGCATTTGGGGCACATAGAATTGCAGACATAAAGGAAATGTTTTGTAACTAAACCAGTTAATCAAAGAGCTGAAAAAAAAAAAAAAAAAAAAAAAAAAAAACCTGGTTGAGCTGTGTACTTGAGAGCTAACCATGATTTTTACCAAACTGGCTAATATGATATATATCTGTATTCAGTTATAGAAGTTTCCTTTCCTGCATTTAATGCGCCTAGTGCATTTACAGAGGCAGCCCAAACAATTCTCGCCTCCAGTTATTTTCTGGTGCTTTATAAAGATACAGAAAACTAACCAGCTCTCTCAGATTAAGGTAGACTTGAAATGAATCACTATCATTCTATAAATGGTATTTATTCTATTTGTGCCTTGATAAATTTGTCAGGAGGGAGAAACCGCACTGTTTAGCTCTAAATGATAAATCCTAGGATATTAGTGATGGTTTGACCAACTTTTGCTGCTTAAATTTTCCATCCAAAAAAGCTGCTTTTTAGTAGGAATCAGCAAGACTAGGATCCTTATGGAAAGGGTGACATTGTGAATCTTTGATTTTTAGAAATGTTTCAGAACATGCAAAAACTCCAGAAAAGCCTGAAGATATTGATAGAACAGAGCTTTTGTTAGCTTGAGTGCTGTCAGGCTAAGAAATATCCTTAGGTGAGCAAGTGTGTAGAATTGGTGATAACATTTTGGGGACCATAAACCCCTTTAAAAATCTGTTGAAAGAAAAGCTTAATTTTTAAGCTTAGACGGTAAAATGATTGAATTATTTGGATTATGGTAAATTTAAACTATTTATGTAAAAATGTGTGGTGACTCCTTAGGACAAAAGAAGTATTTAATGGAATGTCTAGAGAATAATACAAATGAGAGTAGTATTGCAATTTGGAATGGAGAACTGGTGGAACCCCAGAGGTTGTTGTCAGAGGACATTGCTCAATTTTGATACCTGGGGTTAGATGATAAGCTCCTACTAGCTGTATCATAAATTGCCCCTTTTTTGGTTTCATTTCCTCAAAGGTGGTGTTGCTGTTCTAAAAAAAAGAGTATTTTTTAAAAACCTTTTTTTTGTTATGTGTGGATCATTTGGAGTTTATGAGAAGGTGAATTAGATGAGATATGGGACTTTGTGAAAATGATTGGAGGCCTAGTGAAAATACTTCCTTCCTTTGTTTTATTCTCGGTCCTGTGATATTTTTAGAGTAATGCCTTTGTGAAAGGAAGTGGTTAAAAACACTACACAATGTAAGGCACAACCCTTTCCTTTCCATCTGCTGTGGGGTTGTCACAGAGGTATGGATGACAAAATTAAGTGAAGACAATACAGATAACTGGTTAAGGGCCAGCGTAGTAGCATGTGGGTAGTAAATTTGTTCTTTTTGTAGGTGGGAAAACTTTTTCTTTATGATTTTTCTGGAATGGACTTGTCATTGCTGTTGTGTAGGACCACTTTATAAGCCTCTGACTAGCCTGTCAGTAGTTGTCTCTGGATCAAGCTTCCTGATCCCTGTTTGGGTTTGCTCTGGACATGGTAGTAGTGTTTTATAGTATGAAGTAGGGAGATCTGTGTGTGTAAAGAACCTCCTTTGGCAACTTTCCTCGGAAGAGGGCTATGGGCATGTACAGTAGGTGATGGACTGATGCAAAGGTACCCACTACCTCCACCAGAAACCCAGGAGTTATCCTGTCCATGCCATTTGTGTCAGTTGTACCCTCATGCTAATCATTCTCAAGCTTTGATGTCCAACTCAGACCCTCCTAAGCTATAGATATGTAGAACTTACTTGTGACTCAACATCTTCATTCAGATTTTTCATAGATGTAAAAAAATCTCTACAAAGTATAAAACCCAGGTTCATCAGTTTTCTCTCCTCCCCCAAACTAGCACCTCACTCTAATATTCCTTATCCCAGAGATTGACAGTACTCAGGCACTCATGGGAGTCATCCTTGATTTCTTGGTCTACTCTTTTGCTCAACCCCTGCACTACAATATACACCACACACACACACACACACACGTCACTATTGTCACACCAGATCAATGAAAACAAAACTGATTAGATCATTCCTCAAACTGAAAATTTTTCAGATGCTTCCTGACAGCTGTAGATACAGTTCAAAGTAAACTGCTTAGCTTGGACTGCGGGGCTGCTCTTGATTCAACCCTTGCCTTTCTCACCAGTCTCATTACCCACCACTCTTATACTCCTTTGTATTTTTTACCATCTATCCATTTTGCCTGAATGACTCTTCAGATGGAGCAGCTTTTCTCACTTATATGCCTTGGTCCTTGCTAGAACCTCTGCTTAGAATGCCTTTCCTTTAATTCATCTGAAATTCCTATTAATTCTTCAAGCTTCTTTAAGATTCAGCCTTGTCCAGAGCCCCTAGGCAGACTAAGGTAGTCCCTATACATACCTGTACATGAGTATTTAGTTGATATTACCACATTGTGTTGTAATTGTTTTCATGCCTTTCTCTACTCACTGTGAGCTTATTGAGGGTAGGAAGCAGTTCTAGGTCATTCTTCTATCTCTAATACTCAGACATATCTTTGAACAGATACCCTTGCAGGGTCTTTCTGTGCAGAAATATCAGTCCTTAAACATTTTCGTAAGTGTCTTCATTTTGTGAGCAGGAAGAGACAGTTGGGGAGTGTGACATTGGATTCATGTCCTCAACCTACCTGCCTCCTGCACTTCACTCATGCTTTGGGAATTAATTATATCAATATAGTTGCTTTTCAAGAGAAATTGATGTATGGGAGACAGTGGCCTGTAAAAGATCCCTTTATTTCTAGCTAGATGTTGGCTCCAAACCCCAGTGTAAGCCCAGTGAGCTAGCCTAGGCATATGAAGAATGCTAATGCCTAGGCCCATGAAGCCTAGAGCTTAGATTCAGTGACTATGTGGCCTTTCTATAAGAAGGAAGAACAAGAGCAGGCATGCAGGTGCTACTCCCCTCCTTCCCTGGTACATCTTATCTCACCACAGTAAGTGGGTTCCATGGAAACCTTGCCAAGAGATTAGAGAGCAGCTAGAGTGAAAAAGTTTCTCTTCTGGCCATGTGGAGAAAAGAGATAGAGTATCAGGAAGGGTAGACTATGCTGTAGCCCTAGTTGCTAGGCAGCACTTTGAACTTGACCATAGCAGTGGTATTTCTCTGCAGGAACCAAAGGAACCATGCCATAAGGCCAGCTACATATGCTGATGCATGGTTTTGAACCAGGAAGAATCATTGAGAAGGCCTTCTATACCAATCCATTTTTAATTTTAAAAACTCATGACCTGAGAAAGTAGGGGGGATGGGGGAAGGATGGAAAGGAAAGAAGAGTTGTGCGACTCTCATTTGACACATGTAAACATTTAGTCACAATAAGATTAAGTGACTTGTTAAGGACTAGGAGCTACAAAATGTGACAGCCAGAATTTTAATGCAGCTCTAAATCCAGAGTCCCTGTTTGTTTGTTTGTTTCTTTTTTTTTATGGAAGCATTCAAAATATATGTTATTTCTGAAAAAAATAGATTATGGAAACACTAGACTAATCTTGCCTTCCATTTGGCTGTGTGGCTTTAGTTCTCACATGGTATGTCCCTGTATGGCCTGTGTATAAAATCAACATGTTTAGTTGTTGAGCCTTTACAGGACTGGTGCGAATACATTCTTATATAAGTTCTGACCCTTTCTTTCATCTCTTGTAATATCCAGGTAAAACTGTTGGATGTTTATTTTCTTCTCTCCTATTGAAATGAGCTGAATGGAGAAGAGACAGAAAATGTGGAAAGGGTATGGAATGGCATAAAACCTGACTTCTTCAGCTTAATCATTATTGTAGTCACCCAGCTGCTGAGGAATTAGGGAAAAACAATCTCTTTGGCATCTTTGATTGCTGACAGCAGCCAAACTAACTACATAACAGCTTCCATGGTTTTAATTATATCTAATGATATTAATTTGAAGGAGTGATATTTTTATGTGGCTTTATTTTATTTTTATTTATTTTTTATTTTTGTGACCGGTAAGGGGATTGCAACCCACTGGCCATCTCTATATAGGATCCGAACCCGCGGCGGGAGCGCTGCTGCACACCCAAGCGCCACACTCTCCCGAGTGCGCCACGGGGCCGGCCCTTTATGTGGCTTTAAAACAGGGGTTTTCAATCCTTGTTTCATGGGCTACTTCCGGAGTAAAATAGACAGCAGGGGAATAAATAGCCTGCAGGCTCTTCCATGTTGACCTCTTCAACCAAAACAGCTCTATGTTATTTGTTTTACATATTGGGGATCTCATTAAGCTTTTATTTGAGTAAAAGATTTTGTCTTATTGTCCTGTAAGTTTGAAAACCATTACCTTTAATCAGATTAAAAACAGGTGTGTTGGGAGAAGACAGTAAAATTCAATTCAACTAATATTTGAGGGCTTACTCTGTGCTAAGCCCTGAGGAGACTGCAGTGAAAATGCACACTGTCCTTACTATTATTTTGCAAGAAAGACAGATGTTAAACAAGTAATTACAAGCGAAATGAACTTTATGAAAGGTAAAATACAAAATGTTATGATGGCATACAGCAAGGGGACTCAACCTAGTTCTTAGAGTGGTGGCTTCTTAACCTAACTGGTCATTAGCATAACTTGGAAAGCATTCCTAGTCTCTACCACCTTCCAGGACTCCTCAGAGATTTTTCTTTGCCCAGGTGCGAATCTCTGTTCACTGCTCTGAAGGAGGACAAGGGAAGGTGTCAGGAAGACCTTCCTGGGGAAATTAAAAGTCTGGTGGGAGCCAGATGAGGTGGGGGAAGAGGGTCTGGAGCAGTATTGCAAGCTGAAGAAATCTTACGTAGAAGGCCTGGAGTAGAGAGAAGATGGAGTGTATTCAAAGAATTGAGCAGAGCCTACCTAGTGTGTAGAACTTAGAGAGAGAGGGTATCTCAATAAGTGCGTGTTTCTAATAGCATCTATCATGCTGTTTTGTATTTGACTGTGTTTCCCCCTATCCGCCACCTCTAAGTTTCTTGGTGACCAAAACTATACTTTGTTTACAGTTCTAGCTGTAGCATCTAGCTCCTAGTAGGAACTCAGTAACTAGTTGATCAAGTGAACAAAGTCTCTGCCTACAGAGGCATAGTTCAGAGTAGGAGATGGAAAAGAATACTAGTAATTATGAAATAGGATAGTGTCTTAACTTTTTTTTTAAGCTTAGGAACCCTTGATTAAGTTTTATGCAAAAGTACTGATACATACATACAATCCTGTTCTGGTTGTATATATGTGAGAGTTGCTTCTCATTAGTTAACTTCTCTTCCCATAACATTTAAAACTGTCCTCTACACATTTTACTTTTACTATTCCCTCTGCCTGTTCATACCCACCTGGGTAATTCCAACAGTCTTTTCTTTCAAATGTCGGTACCTGACCTCTTTTCTCTTCTGTCTGCTCCAAAGTTAGGTGCCCACCTGGTCCTCCCGACATCTGGCACATACCTCTGTTATACAATATTGGATTATATCAGTGGTTTCAAGCAGAGTTTTGAGAAACCTTTTCCCTGGCTTTGCCACTCCAGTATGCTGACATTTTTTTTAGCACCTGCAGCTTGAAGTGAGAGAGATTGGATCCAGAGCACATATCAAAGGATTGAACTTTGATATGTGCTCTGTATCCAATAGGAAGGAATGAGAGTACAGATACAGAAAGGATTGTAGATTGTGACAGATTGTGAAAGTGCACTCCTGCTAACAGGCATTTATCATGGAGATAAAAGGCTGTGCCATTAACTGAAAGAGGTAAAAGAGAGGAGAGAGAGAATAAGTGTGAAATAGTTTTGGGGTGCTAGGTGGAGAGAGTGTGGGCTGGCAGCTTACTAGAGAAATGGAGGAACATTACATGGCATCATGTCCTAGTGGATGGTGTTGATAATGACTCTATAACGGCTTGTGTGGATAAAGAGGGAAGTATAGGTATAGGTGGGGGTGAAAAAGTTGTGGGGTAAGTGGATTGGAGGTTTTTATTAAGTTGCAGAATCATTTCAAAAAGGAATTTATTTAGGGCCGTGGAGATTCAGTGAACTCAGGGGACAGTCCCATTAATTTAGTGCAAGGTAGTGGGTGGAAAGTCCCAAGAGGCAGAGGATATAGGGGAGTTTACTCTTCATGGAGCATGAGATCCATTTTTGTTAATATAGATATTTTAACAAGGTAGAATCAGACTGCCTATATTGGAATCCCAGCTTTGTCATTTACTAGCTGTGTGACCTTGAGCAAGTTATGTAATCTCTCCATGTCTCATCTGGAAAATAGGGATAAAAATAGTACCTGTCTAGTAGTGTTGTTTTGAGGATTTAAATGAGTTAATATTTATAAAGCACTTTAGATAAGTGCTACCACATAGGAGGTATATGTAAGTACTTATTAAATAAAAATAGTGTCTTCCGTATATATTCAATTCAATACATAACTCTTCAAAAGTATCCCATTCTGCTAATGCCTATCTACCGTTTCCTTCCCCTCCTCTCCATTTCTCATAATTAAACCTTTACCATATATGAACTAGTCCTTTATACATTTTTCATTGAAGTAGGAACATTTTCATTAGGCTTGTAAGTCTGTGCTAATCACTCAGAAAAGTATATTTTAAATGTCTCTATTTTATGAATTTTATTTCAGCTGTTAAACGTTTAATGAAAGAAGCAGCAGAATTGAAAGATCCAACAGATCATTACCACGCACAGCCTTTAGAGGTTAGTTGCTATCTCTGTATTCGTCATATGGATTTTAATACTTTAATATTTAAGACAAATTCTTTAAAATGATTTTTTCACTGCTTTGAGTCATTAGAGATGTGTTTGATGTAGTGTATTGATATATTTCCTATATTTCATGAGTATTTCAGTAGCTATTAAGGATCAGACATTTTAAAAGAAGCAGATTTCTGATCTCTGCAAAATGAGTCTCGGGTGCTAATTTGTTGTTAGGTCTTGACTATGAGGGAGGAGAAGTAGAAAAAACTCCAGACTCTACAGTTTGAAAGACCCAGTTCCTCAAGGAGTCTCTGCAGCTACCCTGGGCTGATTTCTGATCTCTGCAAAATGAGTCTCGGGTGCTAATTTGTTGTTAGGTCTTGACTATGAGAGAGGAGAAGTAGAAAAAACTCCAGACTCTACAGTTTGAAAGACCCAGTTCCTCAAGGAGTCTCTGCAGCTACCCTGGGCTTTTTTTTTTACAAACATCTCTATATCTCTTCAGTCTTATCTGTAAAAAAATGTGCTCAGTCAGGTTTTCATGGTAATAGTGAGAATAAAAATGTAATAATGTATATGCAAGTATTTTGCAAACTGAAAAGTACTTGGTAACTGTAAGATGATATTAATAGTAAATGTATTAATATTACTGACATTTATAAATAAGCTCCTTAGGCATCTGTAAGAGATGCCTATTTTTAAGATTTGTTAAAATAACCCAAATTTGTAGTGATTATTTAATTATATGATAATTATCACTCGTTGATATCTTTCAAGGATTAATTTCCAATTTAATTAAATCTATAATCTTATTTATGAATACATAACAACACTTAAATTTTTAATGCATTTATTTAAGAAAGCTTTTTAGCTCTTATGGGACATGAAAGCTAGATTAAACAACTTTTATTTATAACTTTTATTTGTTTATAACTTTTATTCTTGAGACATTTTGTACATTAGAAACTGTCTTAGCAATAAAATAAAGTAACTTTCTCTGGTAATATTTCTAATATTCATATTGATAAAAATGATCAAACTTTTTAATATTATCAATTCCTTGTGGATTATTGTTTTTGTTCAGGATAACCTTTTTGAATGGCACTTCACAGTTAGAGGGCCCCCAGATTCTGATTTTGATGGAGGAGTTTATCATGGACGAATAGTACTGCCACCAGAGTATCCCATGAAACCACCAAGCATTATTCTCCTAACAGTAAGAATCTTTGCCTTTGTGGTCCAGGCCCTGGAACTGTAATTTTTCCCCCAAAATAATTCCTACAAAGTTGATGCACCTAAAAAGTGCTAATAATACTAATGAATGCATATGCATAAATGTCATAGCATGGTTGTTAGAATTCAGTGAATTAATGTATGCAAAGTACTTGGGACAGTGTTTGGCACATGGTAAGAACTCAGTGAAGGGCAGCTAATGTTATTGTACCTTGTATTCACATCTCCTTCAACTTCCCACCTTTCCTACACTCTTTTCCTCAGTTTCCTCATCTTTACA